ACATTTGTTAGAATGAATGAATGCATTCTTATTCGATAATAATGCCGCTTTGAAGCAATGAGTTCTTACCCCGTTTCATGAAATTTCCCCTTTGGTAGTACTCTTTCCAGTCACATTGTTTACCTACGTGAGAAACTTCACAGACATTGATGACAAGGTCAGATTAAACATTAAGCCATTGTTTTTTAGCCTGATTCTGCAGATAACGAAGAAGGATGGGTGGTTATTTGCTGATAACTTTTGGTTGATTAGTTAAGCAAGAATTTACCCTCAGTTATAGTAGAGTTCGGACTTCGGAGGTCAAGTAACAATTAGGAACAGATAGCTTGACTGGTACCCTTATTCCATAGTGAATTTATGTTCTATGATTAAGCATTAGTATTCGCTGGCTGCATTCTGCAGCATGGTGGGTGCTGCTGTTTTATAGCCCTCCCGATGTGTAGTGTAGTTGTCCCTCTTATTTAATGATGCAATTCACCCCGGTTTGCTTTTGTCCTGTTTTCATTTGTTTCTTCTTTTTGTCTGTCTTGGTACGCAGTTATCACACTGCTGATGGATCTCTAGCTCCTTGAATCCTTTCTGTTACCTTTAGTTCCTAACTGATTAGTAAATTTTCATCACTTTGATCAAAAGGGAAACCTTTTTTAGGTTTTGAAATAAGACTCTAACTGGCATTTTGTCCTAGTTCCTATACTGTCTTCTGCTCCTTTCAATTGCTTCTTTTTGAAAACAAACCTCTAGCATTGTAAGAGTTGTTAGTTATAACGTAATGGTGGGTGATGGATATAGCCTGTAGTTAACCCCAGCTAATCTTTGAAATGGATTAATGGGTGATTGATGACACGTTTGAAATCCCTCCATCAGCCATCTTATTTATCCCTTTCTTCAAAGCAGGTGTAGAGTTCATCTAACTAGTTAATGACACGAAATTGAGTTTGATTTTTAAGCCAACCCAGTATGCTTTGGACAAGTCTGCTTTTGCAGTTTCGTTATTTTATTTCTGCACAGACAAACATATATATATATATAGATAAGATTATTTGCCATCTTCCTGTTCTCATTTGCTCTTTTGTTGTTTTAGGCTGAGTGTGATGATATTGGAATGGATTCCTCAAGTGGGGAAGAGATGGAAGTCGAAATGGATGCAAGTACGAGCAAGGTGGCTGCTAGTGATCATACTGGTTCAGCTTCGACTCACATTAATTCACCAATGCCAAAAGGGAGGAGGCTTACATCAAAAGTTTGGGTCCAATTCAGAAGGTATAAGAAGGACGGTTTATTAAGTCATCATGCATCAAATGCGGGAAGACTTATGCATCTAAATCACGTAACAATGGAACTAGTGCACTCCGCCATCATATGAGTAAACCGTGCGGTGATGGAAAAGGTACTGCTCAACAACTATTGAATACTCTTAGAGCTGAACTAGGTGAGGGGGATGAATCTATGTTAGGCAGTTGGAAGTTTGATCAAGCAGCTATAAGGAAAGGATTGACTTATATGATCGTTGTGGATGAATTGCCTTTCAGATTTGTTGAATACTTGGGTTTCAAATACTTTATGTCACTTGCTTGTCCTAGATTTTCTATACCCTCTAGAAGAACAGTGACTAGGGATTGTTGGGATTTTTATCTTGAGTTGAAACAAAAGTTGAAGGATGTCTTTAGCAACTGTGAAGGTAGAGTTTGTTTAACTATAGATTCATGGACTTCAAACAAACAATTGAACTTCATGTGTGTGACAGCTCATTTTATTGATAGAAATTGGATATTAAGGAAAAGGATAATTGGTTTTCGCCAAATCTTTAGTCATAAGGGGGTGGATATTGCAAGTGCAGTTATGTCTTGTTTGGATGAATGGGGGATAGATAAGATTTTCACAATCACTGTTGACAACGCTAGTTCGAACGATACTGCAATAGAAGAATTGAAAAGCATATTTGATGATAGAAAGATTGGCATGTGTGATGGCAAATTTCTTCACGTTAGGTGTGTGGCTCATATAATGAATCTTGTTGTGATGGATGGATTATCTGAGATATCTGTGGCTGTAACAAGAATCAGAGAGGCGGTGAGATTTGTTAGGCATTCACCTGCAAGAATTCAGAAGTTTAATAATTTTGTTGCTCTTGATAATACGAGCAAGAGTGGGCTGTGTCTTGACGTTCCAACGAGATGGAATTCAACCTTTTTGATGTTGCAATCTGCTGTAAAGCATGAGCATGCTTTTAATCTTTATCGAATGTCAGACAAGCAATTTCAAAATGAACTTGAAATGAAGAGTGGAGTACCTTATAGCTGTGATTGGGATAGTGCTAGAAGAATGATGAAGTTCTTAGAACAGTTTTATCAGTTCACCTTAAAAGTTTCAGGTTCACAGTATATCACCTCCAATTTATTCCTTCCTGAAGTTGGGAACTTATACAATTTGTTGAGGAATTGGGTAATTCCAGACAAGAAGGATTACCAATTAAGCTTCATGGCAAAAAAGATGAAACAAAAATATGATAAATATTGGGGAGCTGTAGATAAGATGAACAAGCTTTGTACATTGTTGCTGTGTTAGATCCAAGGCTAAAGTTACAGTTTATTGGTTTCACACTCAAGTGGATGTATGATGATGAGAAAGCAATTTCTGATTTGACAAAAGACGTTGAGCTTGCTACTTATGAGTTATATGCTCATTATGAGAATCAAATGGAAGTAGGTGAAGATTCCTCCTCTCAAACAGAAGTAGATGATAATGGTGGGAATGTGGATTTAGTTGCCTAGTATATGAAACAAATGCAAAAGGAAAGAGGTGTAGTGAACAATACCGAGTTGGATAGGTATTTGAAGGAGGCTGTTGAAAAATCAACGGATGCCAAGTTTAATGTGTTAGGATGGTGGAAAGTAAACAGCCATAGGTTTCCAACTTTGTCTCGGATGGAAAGGGATGTATTGGCTGTCCCGGTTTCTACGGTTTCATCTGAAGCAGCTTTTAGCACTGGAGGTAGGGTGCTGAATGATTTCAGGAGCTCTTTGACTCCTAGGATTGTTGAGGCTCTGATTTGTACTCAGGATTGGCTCCGGGCAGAATCTAGTGTGTTAGTTGAAGAAGATCCAGAGGAGATTGACAATATCGATGAAGGTGAGTAACCTAAAAATAGCTATTGTTTATGTACCATGTCGTTTTATGTAGTGATTAAACTGTCTTCTTATGAATTTCAGATTTGAGCATGATTATGAAGGCTATTGGTATATCTGATGTTCCACTTCCCCGTATCCATACTCCTCGTATGAGTCCTAATGTAGAGGCAAGCGCAAACATATAAGGTAACATTTGAACCTGATCATTCTTGGGTGACACGCTTTATGTAGGAAGGTAAGCAATTGGAAACTTAGTACATCTTTGATTCTGAACCATATGTTATGAACAATTCTAAAGGCTTTCCAAAATGTACTGTTATTATTTTTGGGCAGTGTGATTGGGGCAGTGGTGCTCTCGATTGGATTCTACGCTGTGATGTGGGGGAAAGCTCATGAGGATGATTGCTGCAGCCAGCAGCAGGACACTGATCAGTCCACAGAGAAAGCTCCTCTGTTGCAGAATTGCAGAAGGAATGCACAAGTTTAAGCTGCTGACATCATTTAAGCAGCTTAACTTAGTTTATAGTTGGAACTTTTGAATGGCATGACAAGTATATGCTTTGTTTGCATCAGCTTAACTTAGTTTTTATTAATCTTTGTAAAGAAGAGCTTTGTTGAGCATATGCTCTGTTTTGGTCTTGCTCGTGTGCTAAGCAGGATGATATCATTGGAAGATAATTATCAACTATTTAAAGCAACTGGTGGTGCTGTTCATTCAGGCATTCCATGCTATACAGACATGGATATTGAACTGGTCTTGGAACACCTTTGATCTATCTGATTATGATGATAGGAAGCCAGAGTGTTCTTACTAAGTGTTTTACACGGCCACTTGTTTATTTGGCTTAGTTTGTTTGTTTGGAAAATAATCTATACAACTCATGATGGGACATAGTATTGTACTCAATGTTTGTTGTTGTTTATGCAATGATAAATTTTTTTATAGTATTTGAAGTGTGAGATATTGCGTGTAATCCTCCAAGCAGTCTGATAATATTCTGTTGACTCAGCAGCGGAAAAAGGTAAAGGCAAGGTCGTTGTTGAATGCAAGCGGTCAGCTGCTATTCGTTCCACCATCGATCATCCCAGCTGCTGCCGGCCAACTTGTTGTGCTACCTTACAATTTCGATTTTTTTTCCCACAGGAAGAGGCGTGTGTTGAACGACAGGGTCCGTCGGAGAATAGTTTGAGCCGCCGGAGAATGATGGTCGGAAGCAGAGGTACATTCAAATCGCGTTTTTCACATCGTTTTACTGTCATTTGCGGTCAAAATGCGGTGCGGTCTAAACCATACCAAACCGTTAATTTATGCGGTTTGGTTTGACCGCACCGATAACTTCGCGGTCAAAGATGCGGTGCGGTTTACATAAATGCGGTTCGGTGCGGTTTAAAAAATGCGGTGCGGTCCGAACCGTACCGATGCCCACCCCTACCCTCCGCCAGCATCCATTTCTTTAAGTCAAATGTGTCTCCTTTATCTTTCTCTGTAATAGTAGCATCTGTGTCAACATATGGAGTCTCAATAGGTGTACTTCCACTATCGACAGGGGCTGGTTCAGCAGCTTAACAGATCGACTTCCTGAACGCCCACCATGACCCCAGGTCTGAGCAGGGGACTGTGACACCCGCACCACCACGACCTCGAGGAGCTGGAGGTCTCCCACCATGAGGAGCAGTTGTAGCAGTAGGGGCACCTCATCCGCCACGTCCACCACGAGGAGCCGGAGGTCTCGCCCTACAAAAACAATTACATAAATTGAGAAATTGAAACTCAATTGAAACAACTACATATTCTAACAAGTATCATCAACTTACATTAGTACATTACAACTTCAATTAATCACTCATGATCAACTCCCACAACTCCACAACATCAATTAATCATCTGAAATTCAGAATCATCATCAACTCATTACTCACACAACGTCACAAACACAATAATAATTTTTGCAAACTTACATCTAAAATCATCATCATTCTGATTCAATCATCATCAATTCCCATTATCAATAAAAAAAACTTACATTACAAGTCAATTACAAACTAAAAACAATGGGACGGAGACTCGGCGACTTGGAGTTGACGGGGGTGGCTTAGGCGGTTGGCGACTTGGAGTTGGCGGGGGTGGCGGGGGAGGGAGATGGCAGGGGAGGTCTCACTGAGGGGTTGCTGGAGCCAACAAGGGAAGTCTCGGAGGTGGACGGTGGTTGTTGGATCCTAGAGTCAGCGGAAGCCGGCTTCGCGGGAGGGTCGCTAGAGGGTTGCGCAAGGTCGAGGAGGGTCACCATGGCCCGCGGGTCGCAGGGAGATGGTGATCGATGGGGGAACGCGACCGTCGGGGAGCTAGCAGAGGAGGTTTCCAGTCGGATAGGGGCTGAGGCAGGGAATGAGGGTCGACGAAGGATAATATGATTGGGGTTGGGCTGGTGTAGTTTTAGAAAGTTGACAAAATACGTCATTTTTGGTGTAAATGGGGTCATTTTGGCTTTGCTTATCAATCGGTCGGTTAGCCGGTTAATCGAAGCTCCCATTAAACGTTTCGACCACCAACCAAAGAATTGGGAGGGGGCTTGGTTATCGGTTAATTGTTACCCGATGGTTATCAGTTTAACCGGCCGGTTAACCCTTAACTGACAACTGAACCTCCACCCCTAGTCGGGCTTCTAGGGATACATCGGCGCATAGTAAAGATAAGAAATGTGGCAGTGACCCTGATGCGGCGTCGGTGACCCTGAGGCGGCGACGGTGGGAGATAAACTGTCGGTGTTTGAGGTCTCCTACGGTGGGGGATGAACGCTTGTTGTAACTGAAGTTTTTTAATTAATTATTATTGCTTCCTTAATTGAACTAGCACCGGATCAGGCCAATTGACCGGAAAATTTTGATAATTATGTATTGTATGTATTCTTTCTCCATATTAAGAGTGATTTCTCCACATTTCGTTCCAAATTATCTAACCAAGTTGTAAACTATGAAAAATATTCTTATCAAGTAACTGGAAGATGACAAATATAATACGACTAGTAATGAAATACAACTAATACTTTGATTCATATATACTAAGCTCCATCTAGATTCTTCCATTGAATTTGTGCCATTTGGGGTTAATAATTCGATGAACTTCCTAGGCTAAGTTAGGTTTAGCAGTTGATAAGTCAGGCTTGCTTGATGGCAAAACATTGTAGGGGTGGACAACGATTTAGTTCACAACAGGTCTGATCAAATGAGAATGATATTTGGATCGAATCGGATTGCACCAAATATAATTCGATTGGATTTGATTTTTTATTTTTATATTATTTAAAGTATGAAGAAAATATGGAAAAAAGTAGAATTAGATGGGACCAAATCGAAAAAAATACATGTTTGATATCGACTTGTCAAAAGCTAAATAAAATAATTTTTAATCCCTAGATCATATCATTTACACGAAAGACAAAAATGACAATCAATTTCTTGTATCCTGGCCGACTTGTCAAAAGCTAAATTAACCATTCATATGAGAAATTGTTAGTTACTACCATTTGCTTCAGACAAACTTGAGACTGCAAAATTAGCAATATCATTCATGTTGTGTGACAGCTGTTGGCAGTCTACTGTATCACATCTCTTAGCTTTATGAGATTCTGCGTTGGCTTATTTAGTTAATCATCATGGGTGGAGTTACGGTGCTAATTGTACAAGAGTTAGCACCGTCCTAACCAAGGGTTAGTAGTGATTTAGCTTAGATGTTGTATTGATTTTATAATAATCCGTAGTGATTTCGTTGTTTTTAGTAGCGTTTTTTGCTAGTTATCACGGTGCTAACCCCTATAAGATTAGCACCTAATCCCATCCCATCATTCATGTGTCGAGTTGAATTTGATTTGCACAGGTGAAGCACCATACACAGATTTTGCATCTTCTGCTCTCCCTTGTGGAGGCAGTGGGGGCTTTTGATGAAAATCTTTACCAAAAACCCACATCAGATTAAATCTAGATTCCTTCGAATCGATCGGACCGATAAAAGAAAAAAATACAAATCAAAGGGATGGAGAGGAAGCGAACCTACAAATTTAGTAAGCAATAAAAACGCTCTCTTCTCTCTCTTCTTTCACTTCGCGATCAGAGCTCCTGGTTAGGGTTTCTTCTGCCGCCATGGCGGCCTCTACGTCGACAACTGCTCCGATGGGGGAAGCGGTGACTTGGGCATCAATTTTTGATGTTGCTCCTGCCAACAAGATGCGATATCGCCCTTCTGAAAAGATCAAGAATGGATTTTGGCTACCCGGCGAGGTCAAGAAGATGGGTGAGGAAATGTGGAAGGATTGCTTGATTGGGCAGTTTATAGGTCTCTCCCCAAGATCGGGCTTCTCTAGCCGTGGGTGACAGGTTTATGGGGTAAAGATGATTCGGTGAGATTCTCTCATTTCGATCCACGTCTTCTTGTGTTTCAATTTCCGTCAATAACGACTAGCTTATGGGTATTCTAGTCTGGGCAATGGCACTTCCATGGAAACCAAATTTTCTTCAAAAAAATGGTAGCCAGGGATTCAACTAGTGGCCCCAATCATTGAGGTGCTCCCTATTTGGGTTCGAATTTGGGGTATTCCTTTGGACTACCATTCATTTGAAGTGATGGAACAGGTGGCCAGTACAATTGGACCCCCCAGTTTGGATGGACCAGACGACAAGGAAGGGTAATCAGCTTGGGTTTGCTAAGGTTTGTGTCAATCTGGCTGCTGATTGTGGATTACCAGAGAAAGTCAGGTTGTATCCAGACGATGATCCCTCCTTTAATATTTAAGTGGAGTACCTTAATATACCTCTTGTTTGTCTCGATTGTGAGATTTATGGGCATGGTTGTACTAGAATTGAGTACAATGGCAAGAGGTGGATTCCTAAGATTAGGCATGTGGAAGAAATTGAAAATGCAGAGGCGGAGATTAATGGTCCGAAAATAAGTAAAGGTAAAGAGATCTTGCTTAGTGAAGTAGTTGTAGAAGATATTGCTCCTTTAGGACAACATGATGTGAAATGTCTAAATTCTGGTACTGTGATTTCTACTGAGGTCCCTCTCCCAGAAAATGAAGCTCAGGTTGTGAGTTTTGTTGAGGTAGTCAAGGGATCGTTAGTAACAACTGGAACCCCGGAAGTTCCTCTTCAACGAGCCTTGGGAGTTAGTTCATCAGAATTTGGGAGACAACCTCCCATAGCTGCTGCTCCTGATTTGGAAACTCAGGGAAAAAAACCATGGAGCACAGTGAGTAGTCAGGCAAAAAAGCAGAGAAATCCTATTGTTGTTCCTGCGAGAGGAAAGGGGATAGGGGTGGTAAGCATAGATGAAGTTTTCTCCTGCAATACCTGGGGTTTCAATGCCTCGAATAAAAATAAGGCAGTACAGTTAGTAGTAAATAAGAATAGCATATATATTGTAGCTTTATTGGAACCAAGAGTAAAAGTTGATGAGGCTGGAAAGTTGGTAGAAGACAGATTTCCCGGATGGGAGAAGAGGGTAGCAGGTAAC